CGATGTCACATGCGTAACAATGCCACACCCAGCTGCACCCTGCACAACGATTTTCCAGCTAATTGGACCACAATCTATGTACCGGCAGCCTGAGCGATTGTTACTGGGTCAGGTTAATTACGCAATTAACCCTTCAGACTGCCACCACCTCCTTTTTGTACAGAGAAAGAGGAAACTTGGCAATAACAGCTATAACACTATAATGGTTGAGATAATCATCTGTATAACACGGTCATCGCAGGCCGGTTTTACAGAGGGTTAAACAAACACAGTAGCGCTCTTTTTAGAAGCAGGAATTCGTAAATTGCAATAAAGAGCTAAAGAAACAGTTCAACACTTTCAGAAGGAAAGATTTATTACTAAAAGGTCAAACGGGTGCAATAAAAATATTTACAGAAAATGATGTAACCAATATATATATATATATATATATATATATATATAAATATACAGAGAACAATAGCACAGCAAAGAGATAATAGAAAGGAGATTAAAGTGTCTATGTACTTGTCAAAGTCCTGGGTTATCAGATCAAGTTTCAAAACAAAAGGGCACGGGTCTCCCCAGGTGGTCCTGATGTTAAAAGGGGGAATTCTTCAACTTCGCTTTCTTAGGTCTGACAACCCATTTTGTAGTTCCCTAGCAGGGGGTGTCTCTGAAGTCAAGGACCAATGCCCCGTTTAGGGAGGGATCATCGGGTCGGATACCTAAACTAGAGCAAAAATCTCTCATAGTTCATATTTTGGCTCAAAACTTTCCATATGCATAAGTGACACTCCACCCGCGGGTAGATTATTATGCCGACATGTCTGAGGATTGATTAGATATGAAATATGAAATTCTACACTGAATTGTTCATGAGATCTACTTTTCTGCTTTCCTATGTATTCCAACCACGGGGCATGACCTATCAAAATGTTCATCTCTTCTTGGCCAATCTGATGATATGCCTGGTTTTTATGTAAGTCTCTCATATTCCAAGATAGGGAAAAATGGATTTTTTTAAAAGGTTATCTGGTTCAATGTCTTTTGAACTCCTGGGAAGGCTGCGTTATCTTTTTACGAGGTGTTAAATGGCACAGGTTCTTTGGACAGTGAGGCCCCAGCTCCCTTGGGGTTTTATAGCACGTAGCCCCCTGCTGGGTTCTGGCTTGTGACACTTTTAACACACAGGCCATATGTCACTGTGACTCTCAGAGAGGGAAGGGGTGGGAGAATTCTTAACAAGATGGAGGGTTTGAGCACAATGGTTGAACCGTGTCCACCTGAATGTGTACGCTTGCTACACCATCCACTCAAACAAAGTAGATGGAGGCTTCCATTGTATTCTGACACCAGAACCGATTGGGTTCAGCCAATGATCAACAAAAGTTTTCCAGCATTTCTGTTCGACAAAAGTCAATTGAACGATGGACTTCAGCCCTATGAGGATGGCCACACATGGATCAAATTGAGCTGATCCATGCTGAACCAGCCGAATTTCAATCCTTTTATGGCCAGTTTAAATCTACCTATGTTCGGGCAGTCTAATGCTATGATGAAAGTATCAGCATGTTTACATTTCCATTTTATGTACGTTTCTACTTGTTTTCTCATTATAAAGGACTAAAATTAGCTAACAGTCAACACAATCTTTTGTCAAAACTGACATTTAGTAATACAATACTTTGCAAGGTTTTGTATAATTTCATAATTAAAAGGTATGTTTATTAGATTTATACATCATAGTAGAAAATAAAGAAAAATCACTTGCAAAACACCAAAAATAGAACCTATTTTTACAGCAAAACAGGTTTGGACATAATCTGTCCCAGATGTCAAACTCATGGTTATTTTTATGCAGCATGATCAAGATAAAACAGAAAAAGGCAGGTATTTTTACGTATTTATTTAGCTTAGATGTAATTGGCTTTGTAGTGAGGTACCCCTTCTTTAATCACTCTTTCTATTGCAGTCAGGCATTGATATTCTGATATTGTTCATGTTCTAGTTACAAAAGGGAAAAAAAAAAACAATTTGTTTTCCCATAGTACTGCGTCTTTTGTGACCACCTGCGGTTTGTGGATGATCCAGCCATGAAATATGTAAGAGTAAATAAATAAAAGTCGATGTTGCCAACATGTGCATTTTATTATACAGTTGAGGGTGAGTTGGGATTACGTGGGTGTGTGGCCTACTTCAGAAACTAAAGCAAAGTGCCATATGGAGAGGTAGGGAATATCTGTTACCCTGACTGTCTCTCTGCATTTGTTTTGGCCAGAGAACAAAGAAACAAATTGAATAAATTTAAATTCCTGATTATTTTTGTTGGACATTTCCTATTGGGGAGTAAGCCATTTGGGACGTATATATCACTACACTTGTATTAGTTTTTCCGCTAACATCTCTATTAATGCTGCACAGCTAAACATTACAACCGTCGAGAAGTGTGATAGAGCTTGATAAATTGTGAGAAAACAGAGCGGGATATTACTTTTCTGCTTAGTTTGGGGTGAGGTTTTCTTGTGGATCAACTGTTCTTTCACAGCCAGGAACATTTGAAGGAATACAGGCAGTTCGCACTCATTTTAATAGTTTTACAGCTTGCAGTTCTGTGGGAGAAAAGCAGGACTACACCGTAGCTAGATGTAATAACAACAAAGGTTATTCCAACTCAGATCCAACTCAGAGTATGTTTATTGGTGTTCTATTGACAGAATTTCAAGCCAGACTAAAGCACACCTGTGCTTCGGTCTTGTCATGCAGGTGCACTACAGATCATATCTAGACAAAAAAAGCATCATGAAGACTAAGAAGAAGCTGTCACAATAAGTTTGGATAACGTTCTGAAGAAGCACCAATCAGAGTTGGTTTGTAAAATAGAAATCTAAACCTTGCACATTCCATTATATCCCCATTAAATCCATTAACAGAAGATTTGGAGAATATGGCACAACCAGGAGTTCTTAGAGAAGACCATCCACCAAAACTCAATGACGGAGTAAGGAGGACATTAGTCAATCAACCAAGAGGCCTATGTAAAGTTTATAACAGGTGTAGATATCTACAACTGAAATATAGGGAACTAAGTGCACTTTTTCGTGTGGTGTTTTGCACTTGCACATTTTTGTGAACACTTACGGGTTTTTTCGTTATAGTTGCACGTTTGCGGACTTAAAAATAGGGAACTGTCCATGGGACAAATATATCCTGGATGATCATAACAGCTGGGCTTTATAAAGTTAATATGCAAACACCATTACTGAAAAACTCATAACTAATCAAACATGGGGTTTAAAAGCAGACAATTAGAAAAAAGAGACAATTCTGAAAACATGTTTGAGGTCTACTGAGACCAAAATGGAATTCTTGGTAGAAAGCCAACACAGGACATCAACCTGAGAACACCATCCCTAATGTGAAGCATGGTGATGATTGCAGAATGACTCCGTCAAAGTTAAGACCTTAGGCAAGATTTGAAAATATGCTGTCCAGCAATAATCACCAACCAAATGACAGAATTTAAGCAAGAAGCCAAGAAAAGGAAAAACAGTTACAGGATCCTGATGTGAAAGCTGGTAGAGACTTACACTGTAACTTTAACTAAAATGGTTCTACCAAATGTAATCCAAATGTATGCTGTAAAAGAGCACCAAATACACAGCACTTGAAGGTATGGGGAGCATGCAAATCATGAACCTGTGGCACTTGTGACAGTGCTGGTGCTTGACAGCTGTCCACTCATGTACCCAACACTATTGCACGGGGTAGAGACAATTGTGAGCCCTGTGTCATGACAAAAGTTATTTTAAAAAGGAGATGTTTATTAGTTGTATATGTTTTTACTTTTTTCATCTTCTGAGCCAATATGTATGGTAGTGTAATATGTGAAAGAGAATGCCAAATGAGAAATACCTGGGAGGTCAAAGTCTTTATTGCTCAACTGGTTACAACAAGCAGTGCAAAGGAAAGCCAACATATTTCAGGCGACAAATAATCTTGCTACTTTTACTGTGAATACCAGCACTGACTGTTGTCTATAACATTCCCTGCCTGCAGATCAGTCTGCTTAGAAGTATTGTAGAGTCCATTTAACATTTTGCCATTTCACTCAGTCCTGATGAAGAGGGATTGTGTAGCCCCTGAAACATGTTGGATGTCCTTTGCCCTGCTTGTTGTAACCAGCTGAGCAATAAAAACTTTGGACTCCTAAGGATTTTTCATTCTGCACTCTCTTTGACCTATTACACTGCCATCTATGAACTTGGGGGATAAAATCAAATACAACCAACAAAATTACCTTTTTTGAAGTAACTTCTGTCATGGCACAGGGCTTGGTGAACAAAAGCAAACAAGGGCGCACTCTCATCATGCATTACCGTGGTACACCACGTATTTAATAAAAACTATAGATATATACTCACAAACAAAAAGGGAATAAAAACAGAGCAGGTAGTCCATAAAGACAGCCCAATGGAATATTACACCATTGATTAGACAGGCTAACATGTTTCGGGAGACAAACTCCCTTCTTTGAGCTCTGAAGAAGGGAGTTTGTCTCCCGAAACGCGTTAGCCTGTCCCATCAAGGGTGTAATATTCCATTGGACTGTCTTTACGGACTACCTGCTCTGTTTTTATTCCCTTTTGGTTTGTGAGTATATATCTATAGTTTTTATTAAATAAGTGGTGTACCACGGTAATGCACGATGAGAGTGTGCCCTTGTTTGCTTTTGTTCATCAGTACCCAGATTTCCCGATCTCTGAAGGGCTGCACCTCACCGTTTGACATTCAGAATTCCTTCTAGTCTGCATGAAGATTTGAGCGCTGGTTTTGTTTGTTCTTTTGGATGACACAGGGCTCACTAAGCTGTCTCTGCCCTCATGTGACTGCATTGGGTGCATGAGTGGACCAGGGGCTGACTGACCATTTGGGAACTCGGCCACTGCCCGAGGGCCCGGGGTCAGTAGAGGGCCCCATGAGATGTCCCTGGTACCTTTTCATAGGTTTTTTTGGGTGTGGTTTGAGTGTGGGGGAGGACACAGGGGCCCCATGATCCCCTGTTGCCCGGGGGCCCCATGAGTTGTCAGTCCACCCCTGGAGTGGACAGTTGTCAAGCACCAGCAATGTTACATGTGCAAAAGGTTCATGATTTGCATGCTCTCCATACCAGTAAGTGCTGTGTATCCTTGGTGGACAAACGAAGCAATGGGGAAAAGCCTGAGTGAGTGCAGCTGGGAAAGGTATCACTCATATTGGAAAAGCACAGTTTTGTTTTTAAATAAAGCAATATACTACAATTTGTAGTACATGGAGCTCACTATAACTGCTTTCCCAACGCCCTACAGCAGAAATACTGCTACAGGGCGGCAAGGGTGCGAAAAATCATGTGTATACATACATGATTTCGCATTTTTGGGTAGGGGGCGCGTGCGAGTCGCGTGCGTGCCCTACCTGCACCGCCATTGGCAGCCTTGGCTATCAATCACTGGGTCCTGGCCACTGATTACCTGCCAGCACCCGGTGATTACCGTGTGTCACGGATGGGGGAGAGACCTGTATGTAAACCATACAGATCTCTCCCCTGTCAGCTCCTTCACACTGCTTTGTATGGCTCTGCATAGCAGAGCCATACAAAGCAGCGTTCTTACACAGTGAAACACACAGCACAAAGTGAAACAGCACACAGTTAACCCTTTGATTTCTCCAGATGTTAACCCCTTCCCGCCCAGTGTAATTAGTACAGCGTCAGTGCCTTCTATTAGCACTGATCACTTTATTTGGTATCACTAGGGATGTCAGTGACAGTTAGTTCATCCCCAATGTCAGAATGCCTGCCGCAGTCCTGCTATAACATCCCAGTCAAAGCAAGCTGACTTTGAAATCGTGTGACATACAGTGAAGTCGCATGATTTCAAAGTTGGGGGACAAGCCGTTTTAAGGTGCAATTTGCAAGATATCTGACACAGATGTCTATGCAAATCACATAAAAAGTGGTGCATGTACTACTTTAGAAATTGATGCGGCTCTGACCAAGTTGGAACCTCACCGATTTGACTGCTGTAATTGCGGACAATAGGGTGTGACTTGGCATATGATTTGCAAGTTGCATGGCATGCAAATCGCATGCCAAGTTGCACCCAGTGTGACTGGGGTGTAAGTCTCTGATCACCACCATTACTAGTATAAAAAACTAGTTCCAGCATATATAACGCCATTTGTAAACGCTATAACTTTCACTTAAACCAATTCATTTACACGTATTGGGATTTTTTTTTAGCAAAGACATGTCGCAGAATACATTATGGCCTAAATCTATGATGACATTTTATTTTTTAAATTTTTTTACTGGACATGTTTAATAGCAAAAAGTCAAAAGTATAGTTTTTTTCTCTAAATTTTTGCCCATTTTTTTATAGAGCAAAAAATAAAAAATGCCACCGAAAGGAAAGCTCTATTTGTGGAAAAAAAGGACATAAATTTAATTTGAGTGCAGCATTGCATGACCGCACAATTGTCAGTTAAAGTAACGTAGCGCCGTATCGCAAAAGATGGCCTGGAAAGGAGGGGGGGGGGGGGGGGTAAATCCTTTGGAGGGCAAGTGGTTAAAAAAAGAATAAATAAACACAGCATTACATTTGCCTTTTAAAAAAAAATCTACATTGTCTTCAGCCAATCTATTTAACAGATGAAAATCCCCACTACTTCAAACTACTATGAGAACAACCATTTTTGTGTACATTGTATCACTTGTACAGGCCTGAGCCAGGCACAGACTAGCTGGCAATCAGCCACATGTTAATATTCATCTACAAAATTCCTAAAGCGTGACACCACAAGATTGTGGGACCTCCAAGACTATGTGTTAGTGTGGTTATACATAGGAAGGCCCCAATTTAATAAAACAGTTAACTTAAAAAAAAAAGTGAACAGAAGGGACTAATCTTTTTACGTTGAAACCAGAGCCAGTTTAGCTTTTTTTTCTACTAACCTGCCTCCATCAGTGAAATATCAAACTGATGCTATAAAGAAATTGTGGGTTATTGGCTGGCAAGGATTAAAGTTGTAACCCCTTAGGCCTCTCTAGTTAACATACAGGTTTATTGCATCATGCAGGGAGAAATGTGCAAAGGGCAGCAGCCCACAGGAACAAATCATGATGCATCTTTCAGTAATTTGACTTTAGTAAACTGAACTCTGATTAGTTGCTGTATGTTCCTTCAAGCTGACTTCCAAGCAAACAGCTAAATATTCAGTCAAATACAGTAATTATGTCCACTTTTTTTTTTTTATCATAAACTTGCAAGACAGCCAGGAGGGTGATCCGACTTTCTCCTTTAAAGTTTAGGAATACATTGATGCCTTCAGCCTACTTATTGGACAGCAAGGATGCAGCAATGCACTGATAAGTCATCCACCTTGCTCATCCTTGCTGTCAGAATGCATGCTCCTAGCACATTCACATGCAGTAGAACCGATTCACTCTTGGTGCTGCAATTCCTTTTCCCAGTCTATGTGCTGCTGTGCTTGGGATTATACATGTTTGTTATAAGAGATTCTAGTCCTAGTTGTATGTAAATTTCATGTATATTTAAAAGAAAACACAGGTACATTGAATGGTATTTTGTAGGGTTGCACCGATACCGTTTTTAAATCGGCAAGTACAAGTACTGATACTTGTGCTCAAGTACTCGACGAGACCGATTACTGATACCAACCGTTGCAGTATGATTTGAGCCCATTCAAAATGAATGGGCTCAAATCACACTGCAAATAATTGCATGTGATTTGAACAGGAATGTGGTGCGATTCATGTCCAAATCACATAAGGTTTTCCTGTGGGTGCGGTGCAATTTGCAGTGTGATTTGAGCAATACAAAATGAATGGCTCAAATTGCACTGCAGATCGCATTGTACCCCCAGGGAAACCACATGTGATTCAGACAGGAATCTCACCGCATTCCTGTGCAATTCAAATCCAATTATTTGCAGTGCAGTTTGGGTCCATTTATTTTGTATGGGCTCAAATCGCACCGCAAAGGTATTGATTTCAGGTATCGGAGCATTTGCACGAGTACAATTACTTATGCAAATGCTTAGTGGCAGCACCGATACTGATACCGGTAACGGTATAGGTGCAAACCCAGTATTTTGTATACCTGTTTAAAGTTTAGATTTTACTTTGCTCAATATTGCTAAAATGCTGTAACTGTAAAGAAGAGCTCTAGTCACAGTGTAGAAAAAATAAAAGTCAGCAGCTACAAAAACTGTAACTGCTGACTTTTAAAAAACAGCCACTTACCTGTCCCACGATCCCGCGGTGTCCACAGCCTGTTTCTCCGGCCATCCGATGTTCCCAGTGCCGGCATCTTCAGTGTGGGCATGCGGCTGTGTCAGCTTGCGACTTCACAGCTGTGTGCCCAGTGTTTAAGTTTCGTGCTGCCCTAGGCAACATTAAAATCAGCTCCCCCCACTCACGGAGAGACCATAACACTGACCAACATCCCCCTCCCCTACAAAGAGAGCCTGACATTGACCAACAACACCCCAGCCCCCTACTCCCACCCGAGAGAGCCTTCCACTACCACTGCCCCCCATACACTGGCAACCCACCACCCCACCCTGGCAAGAGAGAAGACACTCACCTTCACAATTCTGGACATTTCTGGGACCAAGAGTCAGGCTCTGCATATACCATCAAGCAGCCGGCAGCCTCTTTCAGATCCCACCTGGTCCCCATGCTGCGTGCGTCCCTTCTTTCAGGGAAAAATGCAGCTGCCCCCCTGAAAAATGCCGCCCTAGGCAAATGCCTTGTTTGCCTTGTGGTAAATACGCCCCTGTGTGTGCCCACTGCGCATGTGCAAGTAGCGCTGCGCTTTCTGAATGGTCTCGTAGCCTTCTGCGACCTGTCACATGTCCCAGACGACTATGGGAAGGGAGGGGGGAAGGACAACTTCCACTTTGATCTCCTAGGCTAGGGGTTTCCAAAATATGGTCCTCCAGATTTTTAGGAACTCCTCCCATGAAGCCTTGCAAGACTCTGACAGCGACAGGCAAGACTTCCAAAAGCAGAGGCATGATGGGACTTACAGCTGGAGGGCCATAGTTTGGGGACCCTTGGCTAGACGATTGCAGCGGAAATGGGCGCAGGTACCTGTCAATTTCAGGAAACTCCCCAAAGGTGCCAGTCCTTAATGGGGAGCAGGGGACCAGTCTTTAAGGTAGAACTTGCTCTTTTGGGTGGAACTCCACTTTAATATGGGACATTATTTTTGATCATTTCCTGATCAGTTACATAGATTAAGCTGCATTCATAAAGCTTTAAGCAGTTGATGATTTTAAGAAGTTGCAGACATTGGGAGTGATACGCACACTCAAAAATGCTTAATTGAAGTAGAGAGGATGCATGCCCTGTCGGTCTACCCCCTTCTCCCCCCCCTTACACTTGCTGGAATTTTCCAGATTTAAAAGACAGCCAGGAATTGCTGTGTACAGTAGCTGCTGTAAAGGAAAAACTTTAGATGTGGATTCACACCAGAACATGATTCAGGAAAGGTGCTTTCCATGCACATTTCCAGCACTCCACTGGAACACACTGCGCTTGTTAATGACACCCGACACCACAATTGTAGATCATAAACGCAGTGCTACCTGCTACTATTTATGTTAAAAGAGACACATGGATTCTAATACCTTCCTCCTATCTGCATCTACTTCCTTTTTCGTGACTGCTAAAGCTGCCCATTCATGGATCAAAATTTGGCTGGTTCAACAGAGACTGGACAAGTTTTGATCCATGAATGGGCAGGCTGGTTGTACAGAAGTTGAACTACCAAACACCAGCCTGTTGGGTCTTTCCCAAATGATCAGTGCCACGGGCTATAGCCGGCAACACTGATCATTGTATTCTGACAGCAGGGCAGTTTCCTCACAGCCAGAATACAGTAAGGCAGAGGGAGGATGAATGTGTGGATGGGGGGATGAGATCATTTTTCCTTTTTCGATCAACCCATTGATTGAATGAAAAAAAAAAAGATCATTGTATGGGCTGCCTAAGTGTTAGGTCTACCTGCTCACGTGATCTGTCTCAGCATTACAATAGGAGTAAATAAAGAAACAGCAGTCGGGCAAACTCGTGAAAAGGAAATTACATTTCTGAGGGAGTTTTGTTCTTTACAATGTACAGATTGCCCCCAGTCCCTATTAAAAGTCCCCCATTATATCAGGGTCTCAATCAGAGTTGCCTCTTACATCAGGTTTCCCATCAAAGTCCTCTTTACAACAAGGTCTCCTCTTATATCAGTCATGATTATAAAAGGAATTTTCTTGGCAGTTTTTTAAAGTTATAGTTGCTTGCAGACTAAAAAGGCAAATGCATTACAAGGTAATTTCAAAGTAAGAGCAAATTTTAAAATAGTGTGTTTAGTAATTATAGGTGTTTATTTCAGTTTTTAACAAAAGTGGAGATTCCCTTTAAACATGAGATTTTTACAAGACTTTAAAAATGTCATGGTCTCATTTGCAAGGACAAAAAGGATGTCACCTTCCAAGGAACATTTATTTTGCTGCCCTTTTTGTGACTCACATAAATCCCATTTCAATAATTCATACACGGTTTAATTAAATATCTCCTTTTGTTCTGCTGAATGGGTTAATGCCAACATGAGGTAGTATAATTGATGTTGCCAATACACAAAACAAAAGGCCCTCTTTCCAGCCATGGCCTCCCAAAACCACAATTACCACAGAAAGCATATCTTAAGTAATGCATCTTAAAATTTGCAGGCAATGTTATAAACACAGCTGTGCAAAGGTTAGCGTATAAAAAAAGAATTCTATCCAATTAGCACGCTCCTAGCTGTTTAAAAGCCCCTTTGGCACTTTTACTGTTGTTTTGGTCAGGAACATTTAAATGTCTCTTTTTCCTCTTTCTGTTTCAGATTTTATGCTTTTATGAAAAATGAATTTTCCGTAACATGAATGGATTTCATTTCCATTTCAACTGACATTTTACTATTTTTCCACTCGAATGCCCTGGATGCTCTTACATAATTGTATTGTAAATGAACAATTGCCACAGGTGATGAATTAAATAAATAACTAGTATCATTGCTGTGGTTGGAAGTCCTAAACATTGTAGAACATACCTTCCAAAACTGCCTTCTTTGGCTCTTCATACACATGTTCATTAAAGGTTTTGTAAAATGTAAAGAGGTTTCCCCTTCAGCTATAAATCTCTCTTCCTAGTTAAGCTGTCAGCTGCAAAAGATGTAAGTTACCTCATAACAGCCATCTTCATGGTGCATTTAGCAGACCTTCTCTATACCTTCCTGTTTTGTGATATCTGTATAACAAGGTTAACTCGTAACTTTGGCTATAAAAGGAATACAGTCCTATGTTCTCTGAAAGCTTTCTTACAGTGGCAAATAATAATTTTGAAAGATGAAAACTTTTTTCATGTTCTATAACAGTGGGCTTCTTTTCATTATGAGACCCGCATCGTATATTTTACAAATATCTGCAAAACAAAAAAAATCTCCATCATTGTCCCAATCAGACTCCCTCCATACATCAGGGTCCCTATCAGAGTACCCCGTAAATCATGGTCTCCATTAGAGTACTCTCTTACGTCAGGGTCCACATCAGTGTCCCCCTTACATTAGCGTTCCAATCAGAGTTCCCCCTTACATCAGAGTCCCCATCAGAGTCCCCCCTACATCAGGGTCCCATTTAGAGGTGTCCCGTCCATCAGGGCCCCAATTAGAGTTCCCCCTTACATCAAGGTCCCCATTAGAATGCTCTTTTACATCACGGTCCCCATCAGAGTCCTTCCTTACATAAGGGTCCCAATCAGAGCTCCCTCTTACATCAGGGTCTCCATCAGAGGCCCCTTTTACATCAGGGTTCCCATCAGAGTCCTCCCTTACATCAGGGTTTCTCATCAAAGTCCCCTTTACATCAGGGCCCCCATCAGGATCTTCTCTTGCATCAGGATCCCCATCAGAGTCTCCCTTACAAGAAGCAGAGACAATAGGCAACCTCTGCTCTGCTGACCTTAACCAGCACACTTTGAGGATATGCCACTGACCCTAGCTGGGCAACAGATAAAATCTTGTAGCCAGCCAGATGTGGCCCATGGGCCATAGTTTGGAGACCCCCGTTCTATAACAATATATTATAAACAGTAGTACTATAACATTTTTAACACAATATGTTGACTTCCAATCTAACCAATATTTATCAGCTGTTATCACTGCCTAGAGGCATTATAAAATGTTTATCTGATCTGGCCATTTCAGCCTGATCACGAATGTTTATATACCTGCGGGCCTTCCGAATGTCTGGTGGCTGTGCCTGATGTACTTTCCCTTTTATTTTTCCAATGTAATGCCTTCTACATGGGCCTCCTTTTACACAGGTCCCCTTCAAATAATATACAATAACAACTGATTGAAGGCTGGATTAGGCATGTGTCACCTAGTGTAACAATCAGCTTTGGGCCTTTGCCATCTGCTGGTTATTACTTAGCACTGCAGCTCGTCTTTTCAATGCCCACCTTCCCTAATCAGCAGTGCTTAAGTAGAATGCTACACATTCAGTCTGTGCCGGAACAACAATTTGGACTCCGCCTTTGCTGGACAGGGGTCTGTCTGACTCTGACTGTTCATGTCCTAAAATAATTGTTTGAACCGATTTTGTATTCAGTTTCTGTACTTATATGGATCATTGGCCTGTTATGTTTGCTATTGTCAGACCCCTCGTGTATTGTATTGTTACTGTATTCTCTCTTGTACTGTCCCCCCACTTTAATGTACAGCGCTGAGCAAACCCTTTGGCGCTATATAAACACTGTATAATAATAATAATCTATTGTCTCGCTACCTAAAAGTCACAGGTAGAGCTGCACAGTCCTGACAATACTTGGTCCAAATATAACTTCAAGGGGAGCTTGTAATGACTATAAAAAATGACACCGTGTATTACCAAGGTAGAAAAGTAAGCATGTAACCAGCACTCCAAAAGATGCAATTTTTTGTGAATAGATCATGTCACAATGGTCAATCTGTCAACGTTTTAAGGCCTTGAAGGATCTTCTTCATCAGGGCACTAAGTGTCAATAGCCATAGATTTGTTATAGACCTATATAGTACACATTAATCTATAGCAACCACTGTCCCTACCCCAAATTACTTCACTATGACATCATATTCCTGTCAAGTAACATTTGAAATTAAATAAAGCACATTGTGATGAAACAGAACCAAAACACAGTGACAACATGAACATAAAAATCCTATGATGTGGGACTGTTTGTTTCCCAGTTTACTGGGTCTCATTACGGTCTGCATAGCTGCATAGTGGTCCAGCAAGTAAATCATCCAGACCAACCAGTCTGAGATCTGTCAAGCTATGAACTGACATTCTCTATTATGCATGCATAATACTTGGGCCCTTACTGTATGTATGTTCAATGTGAAGATTTGTACCAAATCAGTAGAAGCCCTCCATGCAATAACTACAATAGCACTGAGCTCAGCTGCTAATGTGACAGAAGGAGAGCACTGTGCATACTCAAGTTTTAAACCTGGCAGAATGCTATTCTTGTGGTGCAGGGGGAGAGTGCCCAACATACGGTGCGTCTTGGCATCTAGGCAGGACAAGGAGAGTCACTCACACTAGGAGTTTATCTGGCAGGCTTGGGAGATGCTGTACACCACGTATAACTGTGTCCTTGTTTATACAGCCACATTTCATTACTTTGATACCTTGTTTTGAACTGCTTTTCACCACCACTCAATCTCCCTGGTTTTTTCCCCCCTCTCCTATTTCATTTTGGTTTTGCCCCTCTCTCTTACTCTCCTTGCCTTCCTCCCATTTTGTGATTCTCTCCTTTTTGAAGCTCCATCTTCCCCACATATCTCATTGATGTTCTGTTTGGGGAGCCAGATCACTTAGCAATGGTGGCGTCTAGTGATTTGGTATTGCGCAAGCGTGATTTTCGCATTGTTTATGTGCCAGGGCTCCAGCTTTATGCATTTGCAAAAATGTTAGTTCAAACCCTGATAAAACCCTGACAGATTCCCAACAGATACCCAGATGGGGGCAGTGACTAAGAGGTCTGGATGCATCTGTTGCCTAGCAAAGGTAATTCCATTGCTAGACTACACTGCAATTATGCAGTACGTCCCCATGAAGAAGAAAATAAATTGTTCCATGTCATAGGATGTTATGTCACTGTGTTTTTTTTATATTCATATCTAGTATCTCTTCTCTCTTCTGCTTGTTAGTCAACTGCTGTCCAAGGTGATACAGTAGGTTGGCCTAACGTCTTGTTACCTTACTGTTTATAAGGACCATAACATCACAGATCAGCTCTGTTATCAGCTAAACCACTCCACCAACTTTACATAAAGTCATTGTTCTGCCACTTTTAGTATTTAATGGTTGGCAGGGCCAGAAAGATGGATCTAAATAGCCATGTCCAATAACTGGCTGAGCAGTAAAACACAATGCATTCCAGCTCTGTGGGTCCCAGAAGGAATGCAATTTAGTCTTTCAACACACGCTCCCAGAAAGTCCAGTGTTGTGAGCCATCAAAACTACCCTGCACTAAAGTGGACAGTTAACAGTGATTAAACTCCCTCACATATACAGATTATATACTGCAAAAAATACATGCATCATACAGTGTGCCCCAGTGCAGCAATTCCGCCGCCCACTATTAGTTATAGAAGTGGTTCCTCACAGACCATAGGATACAATTCAAACCCATAGTTCTACAGTGAAGGAAATAAGTATTTGATCCCCTGCTGATTTTGAATGTTTGCCCACTTATAAAGAAATGTTCAGTCTAAAAATTGAATGGTAGGTGTATTGTAACACTGAGAGACAGAATAGCAACACAAAATTCAAAAGAAATGCATGTCTAACATTGCCACGGTAACCTGATGCCAAATCTTGGGTTACCACGGCAACAAGAACACACCCAGCAAAATGCCAAAGCGGGCCCCAGACACTCTCTATCTGCTCGCCCTGGTTGCTCTCCCCTACCTGCTGCTGGGCAAGGTCTGTTCTCTCTCTGCCCTGATCCACATCCTGTGTACTTGATTAATCCCATTCTGCCCAAAATCCTTGCCTGCAGACTCCAACCCTTGCGGTGCCGCGCCACTCTGTCCTGTTGGCCCCCGTGGATTATCGACCCCCTGCTGTCCCATATTGTGATCCTGTGAACCCTGCTGTATTGTGTCTTGTGTTGTTCTGTGGACTAGCTGTCCTATTGTCTGCAACCCGATAAACTCCCCAATAAACGCCCCCACACGTCGGGTTCCATGTGATCTGTCTCCGTGTGCTCTCTCTCTGTGTCAAGGTCCTACCTTTTCCCAGAGGTTATGTTACTCCATGTGCTGGCATCCATCTTGGATTTCTGCTGAGCATGGTGGGAATCCTTTATGCCTTCAGGTCTCTGAGGTCCATTCCCCAGAGGGGTGTGGCTGATGACATATAAGCCTGTGGTCCGCACATGCTCTTTGCACTTGTGTCTTGTGTCTTTGTGTTGCTAATACTCTGTTCTGACTCTCGTGACTCTCCTGGAATCTGACTTGGCTTGTGACTCGACTATTCTTTGTGTTCTCCTTTGATCTGACCCTCTGTTGCTGAACCCGGCTCGTGACCTGTGATTCTCGTCTGCTGTCCTGTACCGTTTTGTCCCATTGTTGTCGACCCGGCCTGCCTGACTACTCTATTGTCTTTTCCACCAGCTACACGCCATTGGCAGTGGCCATTACCGCAACTGAGGTGTCTCGGGGGCCGCGACCTGGTTCCTGGCTGCGTCAAGTCCATCCCCACCATCAGGGGCCCTGGTGAAGGGCAGCCTGGGACTTAAACTCCGCGCCCTGAGGGACTTCGGTCTGTGGGTGGTGGTTGTCGTCAGCCAGTGCGTTACATTGTTTAGGCCTGCCTGTCTGTTCCTCAGCTCCTGCCCCAACACTCTGCGCACCTAGTTCATCACAGAAGGGTCATCAAGTGACCAAGAAAGGAGATGTAGATAGAGAAGGGGAACAAGAACAGAGTCTTGGGGGACCCCTACTAAAAGAGGACGTGGAGAGGACCTTCCTCTGTCTCCTCTGGTATTCAAACATATACCAAACAAGCATCTTCGCTTTTCTCATGAATCTTCTCTTCCACTCTACTCAGCATTTTCCACTGAAATCTCCAAAACTACTTACATGCTTCTTTCTTTGTCTGTAACTTGGAGAAAATTGCTGGATTAAGGTACTTCAAATGGTTACCTTTTCCTGGTAAAATCCTAGGCCAGTTATGCAGTATATTGCTGATACATTACATTTCTGCAATATCTATAGAAGAAACCGTTGCTTACACTCAAAAGTGTTTTTTTTATTGTCTGAACTTGCCAAGTACAAAGATATCCCAGGGTGCCATGGAATTATCTATGTGCAATAACAGAATCTTTGGTAAACTGGATTATGAATTTGCATTAAATTACATTTTATAGCAATTAATGCCTAAAAAGCTCAGAAAACAGGGTTACGTGATTAAAAATGTAATCTAAAATGCAGATAGCTAATCACACAAATGGTCAGATTTAGAAATTGTAGACATTTCCCTGAGCTAATATTCAAACCCTGGGATTGAAATAGTTGGCTACTGCAGAATTAGTAAATTAACCTTCTGCTAAAAGAAAATGTGAAATGTTCCTTCCCAAACATCTGCACTTCCCCCTGGAAATTTTTAGACATTTATGGAAATAAGAAACTGTGAACATATGAGAAGTTGTTAATGATGTTCAATCTGATTTCAACCCTTATTTTTCAATAAAAAATGTAACAAAGAAACTAAATGATCACTATGGATAATGTATAACTTTTTACCTGGTTACTCAATATATTTTATAAATAGCTCTCAAAAGCAATATAGAAGCCTATCTGATGCAGCAAATCTCTATGGCAAATTAATACATGTATTTCCAATATATGTCCCAGAACTACATTTTCTACAACATTATGCTGTTCCTACCAAACCTTTATTTATTGTATCTATTCCTCTTCTTAGAACATAAGCTTCTATGGGCAGGACCCATGTTTCTGCTGTTTCTTGTGTTTTAATATATTTTAATCTAAATGGTATACCAACTGAAGTGACTGGCCTCAGGTGATACACAGAGATGAAACAAACACTCCTATATAAGTTGTACCTGGTTGTCTGCAGCATACTCTCCTCTAGAGCGGTTCAAAGAACAGAATTTACACAGCATTTCTCAGCTTCCAGATGTCACACAGTATATAGCAGGGAGCTGAGTGTAATCTGAGACCTGAGTATAAGGAGAGACATCCCCCTCTACAAAGTCACACAGGGAAACATGCAAACCTGAGGCTGTCAATCACCTGTTGTGTGCAGGAGGGGGTGCAGCCATTTCCCGGAATTGGTTGGTATCAGCATGGACTGTCAGAAGTGACTCATGCAGATAGGAGAGCAATGCCAGAACAGACAGAAATCATACTAGGTGCTTTGGGTTGAGGCAAGAACACACTGTTGAAGGATGTGTTTTGTTGAAATTTCATGGGTTTAAACCCACTACTACTAAACAATAGAAGATAGGGTTATGAAAATTAGAAAACACAACATCTACAGCTGACCTCAGCATATTACAGCTGCCCAGCTCTTTTAAAAAGATTTGGAAAACAAAATCTTTTTTTACCTCTCAAAAATATTATAGGGAGGGTGAAAATACAAAGCACATGCTAGCTTTGGTAACTAGGTCCTAGTCAGCCCCAGCTCAGGTTGATGATATAGTCACTTCTATGCAGGGGCGGACTGACCATTTGAAAACTCGGGCACTGCCCGAGGGCCCTGGGGTCAGTAGGGGGCCCCATGAGATGTCCCTGGTACCTTTTGCATAGGCTTTTTTGAGTTTGGGCAAGGACACAGGGGCCCCATGATCCCCTATTGCCCGGGGTCCTCATGAGTTGTCAGTCTGCCCCTGCTTCTATGCTTGCAGACTACAGTATATTGCACAGATTTCTAAATGATTTTGAGAGCTTATATGATACCAAGACAGTATACGAACTTGATGCACTAGATCAATTTCTAGCATACATCCTTTTGCCTTAAGCAAGAAAGCAGTTGCTGACTCAGCAAATAAAATTCCAGGCAACAATGGTATCCCTATGGAAATATGAAACAGGTAGGCTGAGGTGTGCCCCCTAGAACAGCTTAAATTGTCAACAAACTCTGGTTTAAAAAATAAATTATATTCTAGTATGGTTTTTTTTGTTTTTTTCAGCTGTGATCCAGTTTCCTGATCTCTATGGCCCCCCTGTATGTAGAAACTATGGGTGTCAGGAATGGACTCAGCACTGGTGGTGGGACTCACCTGCATTGTGGGCTGCAGTACCAGGGCTGGCCAGCGGGTGCTCTCAGCAATCAGAAGCTCACTCCTGCAGTCAGCCATCACCTGAGGCTGATTGCAGGAGGTGTATTTAAGGAATGGCCAGACCTGCCGTCAGTGCCTTGGTGTTGTTTCCCATGAGCCCCTGTACCTTGTATCCTGTGTTCCTGTTCCTCTGCCTATCTGATTTGTTGCTGACTCTGCATTGTGTTCCTGACCCTGCTGACCATCTCCTGTTTAACCCCTGGCTTGCCTGACCATCCTTCTGCCTGATCCTCTGTACCGTGCTGCCCGTGAGTTACTGAACCCGGCTTGTGACCCTGACCATTCTCTGCCTGATCCTCTGTACCGCGCTGCCCGTGAGTTACTGAACCCGGCTTGTGACCCTGACTATTCTCTGCCTGCTCCTTCAGTACCTTGCTGCCTGCACGTTGCTGACCTGGCCTGCCTGACTACACCTTACGCTACCCAGACGATCCATCCATCCTGCACGGATCCAGCCATCCCTGCTCACACCTTCTGCCTCTTCACATCAGGCTTCCTACCTGCATATACCTCTGGCGGATCCCTCTACCATGGGCAAGTGTACTCAGGGGCAGCAACCTGGTTCCTGTCTGCTCCAAGTCCATCCCCACCATCAGGGGCCCTGGTGAATAAGTAGACTGGAACTTAGACTCCGCGCCCTGGGGAATCCTGTCCTGAGGACTGCTAGGGGTACCACTAGATGGTCGTTAACAGAACCATATGGCCGGCCTGACCCTTCCACCTCTCCAGCCCTGACTGCGCCTGTGTTCCTGCACATACTAAGATTAGTGGAAGGTTGGTTTCTTTACTGTGTGTTGTATATTTGGGTAGCTAATAATAAATTATATTATTATATCATTCCTGAAGCCTGTTACTTCCCTGTGTCAGTCCACACATTTCTGGTCATACCCGGATCCCTAACAATGGGATTCGTGGTGCGCATAGAGCAGTGTACATAACCATAACTAATTCTCATTCCAAACAAATGTTAGTGCAGAGAGAGGTTTGGGAGCTCACAGAGGACATTACAAGGGGACAGAAAAACATAGTAAAAAATAATATCATGACAATTAGATTACAGGGTTATTAGGTAGTGGATGTGTATGGAATATTTTCGGAGAATAAGCATATGGGGAGCTGCCGGCTACCATGGACAAACTCATCATTGCCATGCTGTCTAAGCCCTGTAAAATTTAACCTCTGATAAAATTATAAAGACCTATTTTTTTTAACCTCTGGCTTCAAGGTTCTCACCACCTCATTAACAGGAATATTTCACACTAATAACACATTTAGACTAGTTGGGTTTTATTCCAAATAGTTCAACTTCAACAAATATCTGGAGGTTGCATTTACAGTTGTGCTCAAAAGTTTGCATATCCTGGCAGAAATCATGAGGATTTGACATTGATATTGAAAATATGACTGACCATGCCAAAAACTGTCTTTTATTTTAAAGCGGAGTTCCACTCAAAAGTGGAAGCTTCGCTTTTCTGCCTCCTCCATTGCCACATTTGGCACCTTTTGAGGGGGAGCAGGTACCTGGTTTTGACAGGTACCTGCTCCCACTTCTGGCTGAGTTCACCGTGGCGAGCTGAGCCAGAAGTTCGGCACCCCCTGCAGCCCTCTGGGACACTTTCGAGATCTCAGAGGACTGCAGCCCATTCACAAAGCGCAGCGTGCTTTGAGCATACGCAGTAGGAGCCCGACAGTGAAGCTGCAAGGTTTCACTGCCAGTTTCCCTTAGTCAAGATGGTCACCATGCTATCAGATTATTAGATGCCACTAAGGCATTTGATAGCATGGAGTGCTAATACCTGTGGCAGATTCTACATTCCTTTGGTCTTGGTTCAGATTTTATACTAATGATATAATGACTATGCTCCAATCCATTGGTATGCAGTACATTTATTGAATCCTTACCCAAACCCTTCCAATTAAAATGCACGAGGCAAAAGTGCCCACTGTCCCTTTTCTATTCACTTTTTCTCTTAAACCACTAGCCTCTACTATTCACACAAACTCCACTTTATTAGGCTTTAAAAGTGGGGAATTGGACACAAAAAACACATTACATGCAAGTGATGCATTATTATTTTTGGGTAACACACACAGTACAGTACATCACTTGAGAGACTAATGTCATTGATTTCAGAACTTGTCTCCCATTTCGGCTACACAATAAATTGGGACAAATTTGTATTGCTATTGGTTGATCTCTTGCCAAGAGTCTTAGCCACCTGTGCTTCCCAAAATAAAATAGTTAATATTTTTATGAAGAAAAATATCTATGGATCTTTCTGTATACATGGTACTAAATCTTTCACCTCTGTTGCTTAAAGTAGAACTATATGCAAAACTTTTCTTTTTCATTTCAGACAGAGTAATCGAGAGTTATAAATCCTGTCAGATTTTTTTTGTCATCTGTGTCCCATTGAGGAGATTTTTCTCACTTTCTGTCCAATAGCCAAACAGGAAGTGAGAGGAAATCCCTCCATATTAAGGGAATACCCTGGGGTGACCAACGTCACCAGAACTAGTGTACCCATTGGAAGATGTCCCCTATATAATACTTTTCTGGGGATATTCCAAAATTTAGGATTTTGTTATTTTCACTTTCAATGATAATGGTGAACAGGACAAATAGAGAGGGTGAATCTCCCTAACGAGGGCACAGATAGCATTAGGACCCTAAAAGGTGTTCTAATCCATCTCCACTCTGTCCAAAACCAAAAAAAAAAAAATTTGCCTTTAGTTATACTTTAAATTTAAACAGAAATGTGCCAGTTAGTGCAAGCTGCCTCTTACAGTTGTAGGTAGAACCAACTTGATTAAAATAATATGAGCCCCACACTTGCTGTACATAACACCCCTGTGTGGATCCCACAGAAACTATTTTAATTTATTGATTCCCAAATCCGGGATCTTATCTGAAGAAAAGCTTTCCTAGTATCAAATTTTAATATCTGCAGTATCCCAAGAATACATTGGTCTCCAATTTGGAAGTTTGTCAATTTGGCTTAGTGGCCGAGGCACCTACTCTGCATATGTTAGAAACTTTATGGCGGAAAGGGAAGGTTATTAAGCACTATTAAGGGATATTCAAAATTTTCATCCATATGGAACAATCATAAATACCCACATCTTCATTTATTATTATTTATATCACTTAACCATACATGTATCATATGATCAAACCCTTTCAAAGCTTTCAGGATGACTATGAGCTTCATAAACAATGCTTTTATCAATACATGCAACTCAGTCATGCTTTAGAGACTCAATCAAAGTCACTTGCAAGATCCGAACTGTTTGATCTATTTAAAATAAAGGGTGAAGCTTATCCTTACACTTTGGGTACTTGTAGTGGAACTACAGAGGTTTTTGGAAGAAGGGCTCGTGGACTCATGGTATCTCCTCTCAAAGGTAACCTGCAATTACTCCTACGTACACTTGTTGAGTGCAACCAGGTACCTGCTAACAGGAAAGAAATCCCTACACCAGCTGCTACCTTCCATCACCCTCACCTGAAGGTAATAGCAAGTGAGATACCACCACTTGACAAAGATGCTCAGATTCTTCTTCTGTTAGGAAGAGACATTCTAAGGGTTCACAAGGTACACAGACAAGTCAGTGAAGCCCCAGATGCCCCATTTGCCCAGCGCACAGATCTAGTTTGGGTCATCATAGGCAATGTCTGTACAGGCAAAATGAAGGGACCAACCAAGGTTTCATCATTAAAGACAAATATTTTGCAAAATGGCTGAAACACTTACTTTGAGCCATTCCCACATCACTACTGGGTGAAAGAGAAGATAGCCAGCTGCAAATGGCGACATAGTGTCTCAGGTAACACAAGCCCTTTCTCTCCCCATGACGACGACCTTAGCTCTACAGTGTTTAATACAACCAGTGAAGATGATATACTGGCTCCTAAAATGGAAGACAAAGAATTTATCAGAGTATTGGACAATGAGTTCTTTCAAGACCAATAACTGGGTAGCACCCCTACCTTTTCATCTCACAAGAGAAAGATTGTCCAACAACTTGCAGCAGGTCATCAGTAGATTTTTCTCCTTAAAGCGCAACTTAAGCAGGAAACCAGAGATGCAAAGGCACTTTGTGGATTTTATGCAAAATATATTTGACAGAGATCATGCAGAACATGCACTCCCACTAAAGGAGGGAGAAGAATGCTGGTACCTTCCATCCTTTTGTGTTTATCACCCACGCAAAGCAGACAAAATCAGAGTTGTCTTTGATTCCAGCACTCAGCATGAAGGTGTTTCTCTTAACAACATGATCCTTACTGGACCCAACTTGAACAACAGTCTAATGGGAGTCCTGATCCGCTTCAGACAAGAGCCCATAGCAGTAGTGGCCGGCATTCAACAAATGTTTCACTGCTTCATTGACAAAGAAGACAACAGAGACTACCTCAGGTTTCTATGGCACAAAGACAATGACATCAACAAGGAAGTGATAGAATATCGAAGGAAGGTACATGTCATCGGTAACAGTCCTTCCCCTGCAGTGGCAACTTACAGGCTAGGGAGAACAGCTCAAGCTGGAGAAAAGGAATATGGATCTGATGCCCGCCAATATGTTGAAAGAAACTTCTATGTTGACGACGAACTAATCCTTTATATCTGTTAAAGAAGCGATTGATCTTCTCACAGAACAATGGAAATTCTGTCTGTAGCAAACCTTAGACTTCACAACATTGTATCTAACAGCCAGGAACTTATGAATACCTTTCCCTTATATACCTTGATTTAGGTACAGATGTATGTGCCTCCCATACAACAAAGTTTTGGTTTGTTGTGGATCATCAAACAAGACACATTCACCTTTCAAGTGTCAACTTATGACAAACCATTCACCAACTCAGGAGTCTTGTCAGTGGTGAACAGCGTCTATGATCCACTGGGTTTCATGGCTCCAGTCACCATTCAAGGTAAGACAGTTATCTACTGAGAACATAGACTGGGATACTCCTTTACCTAGTGAGAAACAGCACAAGTGTGAAAAGTCGAGATGTTCTTTGAGGTCATTAGAAAAACTTCAGATTTCATGTTGCTATTTTCCAAGTTCCATTTCAACTGCTGACCATAGAGAGATTCATATTTTCTCTGATGCATTAGTTGAAGCTATTTCTGCAGTAGCCTTTTTAAAGACCTGTGGAATTAATGGAGAATCACACTGTAGTTTTGTTAAAAGCAAGGCAAAACAGACTCCCAAAACTGCACATACCATACCAAGTTTTAAACTTGTGCGGCTGTGCTAGCAGTAGAATTGCTGAAGTCATACAAAGTGATATGGACACTATAATTGATTCTTTCACCATTTACACAGACAGTAAGGTAGTATGGGTCTTATTACTAAGGTTATGCCCAGTGATGATGACAAGGTCCGGAAGGTAGAGGTCAAGGTAACCAAGGGAGGATCAACACAAACAGTTGCTTGACCAATTACAGAGTTAGTACTTCTTTTGCCAGGTGACTGACTTAAGACACCACTCTTCCATGCTATTGGCACGGCGGGGAGTACATTGATGCTAACCACGGGTTTTTTACTTGGAACTTTGGTATTCTCTGAAGATGTCCCATGTTGGATTACTACGTGTTCTGCCATCCAGCTGAACTTATGTTTATGTTTGCTTGTTGCATGTTTCTTGTTACAGGTTCCAAGACATTCATCAGAATTGGACTTATTGAATATATATATATTTTAAAGTTATGAAATCTAAAGATTTCAGACGGGGAGTGCTGTGTTACACTATTTGATTTATTATTATTTCTCTGGTTTTCCTCATCTGACTTCCTCAACATGTGAGTTTATTCATTGAGTTAAACTATCTGACCCAATGCAAGACATAGATTCAACACCACGTGGTATAGCTGCATACATCGCTGGAGATAAAGTTTATGGTCCTGTAGTTGACTCAGAACAGCCCTGCTGACATCATTCTGCAATAGACACCGCTGGGCCCGCTGACTCCTTAACCAGCAGGGCCTTGTAATGATGCGCTGATAGCCCCCCTTCTTCCTATCTGTGATATCCCAGGAGGCCTAGTGAGCACTATGCAGGTCATGCGTTTAGGCAAATGACATGCATTGAGGGGCAGGGACATGCTGTTTGCCAAAAAAAAATAGTAAATAAAAAAATAAAAAACAAACAGTGCCTGATTCATGTAGACGGGGGAACTTGATATAGAGGGAGAAGGTCCACTTTAAGTCAGTGGAAGCAATCTGTTAACATTATTCTCCAAAAAAAAAGGAAAATTAGCATACCAACACAAAGGATGGTGCAGTAAATTCCAGGAACATTGGGAACTTTGGCTAGAGACTCCCAGATTGGCACTTGATCTTACATAGACTTCTACCTTAGCTGGACATCAGGATCCCTCATACCTCTATGGCTACGGAAACTAATTTCCTATACACACCATGCACCTAAACACCTGCACGCTAGTAATGAATCAATAATCCTTGTGCGTTCATTTTGCTAACAGTTCTGTATGCAGCTGAATTTAAAGCACCGATAATTGTTGTTGGATGATTTAAATCATTGTAATACTTACATTCTTCTATACAGATGTTGTCAAAATGAGCTGAGCTTACTCATTTATGTCTGTAATTATAGACACATGTTGAGCCCCGTATCCCTTTTTTTTGTGTAGTTTTCTTTCTGTACACCTGGGAGTGTGTAACTCGAGTTGGTAATTGTTGGTTTATGTGTTGTAAATCTGTATAAACTCAATAAAAACATTATCTGACAGAAAAAAAAATCACCATGTATACAAACTCTTCTGGGCCCCGTGTGCTCCTGGACCCCATCTGCTATTACTAAAACTGCGCTCTTGATTTTGGCATTCTTTGTGTTTAGCAGTTGGGCACAGTCAAATTTGCAGGAGATGGTTTGGGGAATTATAAGGTTTTTGAGAGCTCCAGTAACATGGAGTCATTTCTCCTTCTGCATGGACTCTTGAGCCTTTTAGGAATGGAACAAGGACAGGGACTGGACTAACAATACATATACATAGCTATTCATAGGTCCAGGGGCGAACTGAGCATTTGGAAACTCGGGCACTGCCCAAGGGCCCGGGGTCAGTAGGGGGCCCCATAAGATACCCTTGGTACCTTTTTCATAGGCTTTTTTGAGTTTGGGCAAGGACACAGGGGCCCCATGATCCCCTATTGCCCGGGGGCCCCATGAGTTGTCAGTCCGCCCCTGCATATGTCATAGAATAGGACAGTTAATGTACTGCTGCTCCATTTGCCTTGTTGGGCATTGCTTTTTTTCTGGTTTTAAAACATAACAGCCATTTTACAGTTACCTAGGCACCATGTAAATAAATACCCTGTTATTCCAATGACATTAAAGTGGTTGTAAACCCTTATGTATACCCAGTGAAGTTGCTGGCCTCAGGTGATACACAGAGATGAAACAGATCTTCCTACATAAGTTGTAACAAAAACAAATGACTAGGCACTAATGCCCTCAACCAGCACCATGTAAACAAGAGTGAAAAAAGGCAGGAAATCCCACAGTTGCTCTAATGACTATAGGCAGTATGTAGTCAAAAGAAAAGCATAACAGATCAGAGCGTTCGTGGCGAATGTCCAGAATAAAAAAACAGTAATGTTCATAACCAGCAGACAATATAAAAGTTTCATGGGGCAATAAAAGCAAGAATCACCATAAGGATGTATCCATGAATGGATGTCATACAAGGATCAGTGTAAACCATAGACTGAATGAATATTGGGGCAGCTTACTGTGTTGTAGGCATGTTTCTCATCCCTCCTGTGGGGTCTCTCTCAGACCTTGGTCACCTGTATACCATCAATTGTGGCTCTTTCACCTTCTGCCTATTGAGCTTGCCATCCAGGCTCTCCATTGCCATGCCTACAACACAGTAAGCCACTCCCATTATTCCTTCAGTCTATGGTTTGCACTGATCCATGTATGACATCCATTCATGGATACATCCTTATGGTGATTCGTGCTTTTATTGCTCCATTAAACTGTTTTATATTGTCTGCTGGTTATGAACATTACTGTTTTTTATTCTGGACATTCACCACGAGTGCTCTGATCATTTATGCTCCACATTGTTATTATTATTATAATACAGTATTTATATAGCGCCAGAAAGGTTTGCTCAGCGCTGTACATTATAGTGGGGGACAGAACATGAGACAATACAGTAACAAAACAATACACACGGGGTTCGAGGGCCCTGCTCTTTCGAGCTTACAATCTAGGATAAGTTGTACTTATTGTAAAAAGTTGGTCTGAGAGTTCAGAGTGGGTGGAGAGCTGAAATTACACTTTTCAGAGTGAGGAGAGCTCTGGGAGCTGATTGGAGGGAGAAACCCCCCCCCCCCCCCCCTTTACACAGCACACAAGAACAGAGCTGAGGCTGTCAATCATCTGGAGGTCCCTCCCCTGTCACTATTTTTCTCCTGGTGTCAGGAAAACTTGTCAGAAGTGATTCAGGGTGATAGCAGAGGAGTGAGGCAGCAGACAGAGGGCAAAATGTGGTGCAGCCTTTTTCTAGCAAATCGCAGCCGGGTGTCTCTTTGGAGTAATAACCAATGGGCTCCTTTTGGGGAGAGGTGTTGGGTGGAGACCTAAGTTACAACCAGAATCTCTCATAGCTTATATTTTGGCTCATAACTTGCCAGCCTGGGCACTAGTATATTAATACTCAGCCGCAACTGAGGAATAGTTAAAGATGAAACATGAAATATACACTTGAATGGTTCAGGAGATATGCTTTCCTGGTTTTCTATGTATGCCAGTTAAGGGGTGTAACCTATTAGGAGAATGGTCTCAAATTGAGCCTTCCGAATATAGGCTCGATGTTTAGGTAATTATGTCCTACGTAAAGATATCAACTTACATGAAAAGTGAGTTTTTAAAAGTAAGTCTGTTTTTACGACCCCTTGGAAGGTCTTTTGAGGTTCAGTGAGGGACTCAGTTTATATTTTACAATATGTGCAGATTGCACAGTTTCTTACACAGCTAGGCACCCAGCTCATGAGGTTTTATAGCTCTGAGCTCCCCGCTGTGCTTTGGCCGCCTGTGACCCTTCTCATCACTCAGGCTACATGTCACCCCACAGCGAGGGAGGGGGATGAGAGATCTACAAGATGGAGGGGTAGCCTGCTTTGGGAGTGAGACGTGGTATAACATAGAAAATTCTTAACAAAATGGAGGGCCGCGTCCGTCTCTGTGTGCACGATTGCTACACCTCCCTCTTATGTGTCCTCTGGAATACCCACTTGGTCTCTAACAAGCTTTCTACTATCACTGACCTCTTCCTCTCCCACTCCCTCAACCTACTAGATATTACCAAAAACTGGCTCCAGGATTCCGACTCTGTCTCCTCAGCTGCACTCTATCATGGTAGCCTCCTCTGGACCCACTTGCCCAGACCCAGTGGACGAAAAGGGGGTGGAGTTGGACTTCTTCTTTCCCCACAAAGCATTTTCCAGGTTCTTCCTACACCTCTCTCTGTCCCTCTGCTCTTTTGAAGTGCTTTGTATTTGTCTCTTTTCTCCTGTTTGTCTGAGGATCACAGTCATCTACCAGCCTCCTAGCCCAGTTTCACGCTTTCTTGATGACTTCTCGGCATGACTACCATACTTTCTGTCCTCTTAGGTGCCTGCCATCATCCTTGGTAACTTTAACATTTTTAAATGTTAATATCTCAGCCACTTCTCAACTACTCAACCTAACTTCCTCTTTTAACCTAACACAATGGACACAATCCTCCACCCACTCTAATGGCAACACCCTCGACCTTGTATCCTCCCATCTATACACTCCCTGTAACCTCTCTAACACCCCTTTTCCTGTGTCTGATCACAACATTATCAGCTTCACACTCTCCCTGTCTCCTACCTCCCATGCTTCCAACCAGCAAACCGTTACCTGTGGAAACCTCCACCACCTCAGCCCTGACCTTCTTCACTATGCTACTGAGTGTCTCTGTGATAAAATTGGGCCCCTGTCCTGCCCAGACCTTGCCGCATCCGCCTACAACAACCATCTATCATCCTCCCTGAACACGCTTGCTCCTCTCTCCACACGCAGAACCAGACCTCGCCTATCACAGCCCTGGCAAACTGATGACACCAGAAGTTTCAAGAGACGCAGCCATGCTCTTGAGCAAGCATGGCGTAAAACTAAATCCCTGAAAGACTTTACCCTCTACAAATCCGCCCTTCTCAAATACAACTCCAGCCTCCATGCTGCTAAACAAACCTACTACAACACTCTCAACAAAACCCTCTCATCCAATCCTCGTCAACTCTTTTCTACCCTTGATTCCTTACTCCACCCCCCACTGCCTCCACCCACAAACTTACTTACTGCATAGGAGATTGCCAGTCATTTCAAGAACAAGATCAACACAATTCACGATGAGATCTCCAATGTCAAGCTTCCTCCTCCAACGAACATACCAGGCACAGCACCACTCTCAACACTCTCCTCCTGCGACCCTGTTACCACCGAGGAAGTTATCAAACTCCTTTTCAAGGCTCGCATCACCACCTGTCCCCTGGACCCTGTCCCCTCACAATTATTACAGCTTCCTTCCTGCTCTATCTTAAACTCTCTAACCCACATCTTCAACCTCTCACTCTCCATGGGCACCTTTCCCTCCCCACTCAAACATGCACTGGTTATCCCCATTTTTTTAAAAACCCTCACTGGACCCACCTGTTTGAATAACTTAAGACCCATCTCCCTGCTCCCGTTTGCCTCCAAGCTTCTCAAGCACCTTGTTCACAACCGTATGAACTGCTACCTCACCGACAACAACCTTCTTGATCCCCTACAGTCTGGCTTCTGCCCACAAAATTCCACTGAAACTGCCCTACTAAAACTCACTAACGACCTACTAACTGCTAAAACCAATGGCCATTACTCCATACTCATACTCCTAGATCTTTTTGCTGCCTTTGACACAGTCAATCACCTGCTCCTCCTCAGTAAACTCCACTCCATTGGCCTCTATGACTCTGCTCTCTCTTGGTTCTCCTCTTACCTTTGTCAGCGCACTTTCAGCATCACATACAACTCCTTCTCCTCTGCTCCTCTTCCTCTTTCCATTGGGGTACCCCAAGGCTCTGTCCTTGGGCCCCTCATTTTCTCTCTTTACACTTCCTCCCTGGACCAACTGATAACCTCCCATGGCTTCCAATACCACCTCTATGCTTATTACACCCAGATCTATCTCTCCACTCCCCAGCTCACCCCCTCAATCTCCTCACGTATCACAAATCTACTAAGTGACAGTGGTGTGGCATGGATGTCACACCACTACCTTAAACTCAATCTTTCCAAACCGAGCTTGTAATATTTCCTTCTCCCCGATCCCCCACTCATGACTTTACCATTAAGATCAACAGCACAACCATTGGTCCTTCCCTTCATGCCAGGGTGCTAGGTGTAATCCTAGACTCTGACCTCTCCTTTGGACCCCACATCCAATCACTAGCTAAATCCTGCCTCCTCAGCCTCTGGAACATTTTCAGTATCTGCCCCTTTCTGACCAATGACACCACAAAACACCTTATCCATGCCTTGGTTTTATCCCGCCTTGATTACTGCAACTCCCTCCTCACTGGTCTACCGTTACACAGGTTATCGCCCCTTCAGTCTATTATGAATGCTGCCGCTAGATTCATACACCTTACCAACCAATCAGTGACTGCTGCCCCTTTCTGCAAATCCCTTCATTGGCTTCCACTAACCCAATGTATAAAATTCTAAATACTAACCACAACATACAAAGCCATCCACAACACTGCCCCAAGCTACATCACCAACCTCATCTGCAGATATCGTCCAAATTGCATGCTCCGCTCCTCCCAAGACATCTTGCTCTCTAGCTCCCTCATCACCTCCTCCCACGCTCGCCTCCAGGACTTCTCCAGAGCCACCTCCATCAGAACATCGCCTACAGCTATCACCTTTTGTACCACCTCCCCCTTCCTTTAGATTGTAAGCTCCATGAGTAGGGCCCTCCTATGCCTTCTGTACTGAAATGTATTGTAATTGTACTATCTCCCTTATATTGTAAAGAGCTGCGCAAACTGTTGGCGCTATATATTATTCTGTATTATAATAATAATAATAATAATAATAAATCATAGTATTCCAAACATAAGAGTAAACTTATAACGCACTAAGATAGTAAAAACTTGCAATATCATTTGTGA